GAGGGAAAAAAAAAAGGTCCTGAATTATAAATTAACCAATAGAATTATTTCTTCCTTCAAAAGCATTCAATTTCGTCCTTTGTCGAAGTCCAGTAATTCGTGCAAAAGAAGACCAATTTACATCGCAGACGATTATAAATGGATTATCTTTTACAGGCTAACAAGACATGTTTTAGTCAGAGTCGATTCTGACTTGAGGCATTTAAGTAAACTGTGTACCATATAAAAATTACATAATGGGGAAATAAAGAACAAAATTTCCAGAAAGCTTTACGGAAGTAGTCTTCAACCTTTGAATTCCCATAACTTTAGCCATTCCATGGCCAAATTATCTCAACTGTTCTGAGTCAGTTTGCTCTTCCAAGAAGGAAGAAAGTTGGCTATGTTTCTCTGCTGCCTCGGGCACGCGGGACCCTTTTGAAAGTTCGAACGACCCTCCGATATTGCACAAGGAATCCTTAACAGAAAATGGTATCCTTTTGCTAGAGGTATTTTCATAGGTGGTTGGAGAAACAGAAAGATTACCAACATTGTTATCTTCACTGCTCAACTTCTGGTGAAAAGAGAGAGAATCATCAATGACCATTTCCTCAGTCCCCTTGATTTCCATTGCTTCAACTTGTCTGATCAAGCAAGCAACTGGGTCTTCTTCAGAATGGGATTTTTCTCTCTCATTGCTCTTCTTGAAGGAATTTAAATCATTGTTGAACTCAACATCTCCATGGCTTGCATCTTCGACCGTTTGTTGGGTAAGGGTCAGATCTTCAGCATTAGAAATGGAACTTAAATTACTAATAGCAGTATGCCCTTCACTAATAGTAGGTGTGATCTTTACGTCCTCCTGAGCACTACACTTGTTTTCTGGGACTACTTCAGCCTTTGAAACATCAATGGTTCCGCTATTTTCTACAAGACCAGTATCTTTGTCCTGCGAGCCAATGTTATCTCCACCACTTCCAACTTCCTCAGCTTTCAAGTAATTTTCTTGACCAATTTCAAGTGGCGTGTCGATTTTCCCTTTTGGAGATATAGCCTGACAGCTTTCAACGTTCCTTAAAACAGTACTAATCACTGCTGCAGCTTTTGATGCTTCTGGTAGACCAGAAATTTTAGGTTTCATATTCGAGGACGTGTCGATTTTCCCTTTTGGAGATATAGCCTGACAGCTTTCAACGTTCCTTAAAACAGTACTAATCACTGCTGCAGTTTTTGATGCTTCTGGTAGACCAGAAATTTTAGGTTTCATATTCGAGGACGTGTCGATTTTCCCTTTTGGAGATATAGCCTGACGGCTTTCAACATTCCTTAAAACAGTACTAATCACTGCTGCAGCTTTTGATGCTTCTGGTAGACCAGAAATTTTAGGTTTCATATTCGAGGACGTTCGCTGAGCATCAGGCTTAGCAACTGTCACAGCTCTTTCAGGATTAACCTTCCCAACTTTTGCCTTGACAGTACTCCCACGTGGACTTGCACTTGCTGCAGCAATTTTAGGTAAATTACTTGGTACACCCCTCTTGGGAGTGCGTTGTGCCGATTTCACCTGTATGATGCATAAAACCCCACATCAAATACAAATGCAAATAAAAAGGGGAAAACTAGCAATATAAGTATCATCGCTCGAATAGGTAATACACATCTCTTTTCAAGTTTTTCAGCCAGGCTTTCTAATGACCAAATATTCTCTACTCTCCTAGAGAACTGACTTGGCAAATCACTGCTCAAGTAAAGCTCAAGCAATTAAAATTTATAAAAGAGAAGGCAAAACTGACCCCATCAAAAAAACCAATTTTTGGAGATGGCAATCGAAGGCCTGAAGGTTTTGAAGTTGGAGGAGGTGCAGCCATCCCTGTTGAAGCTTTCAATGCACATTGACCAGGCAACCCACTCACTTCAGCAGCAGATCCAACTGAGCTCTGATCATCGGTGTGGCTTTGATAATCCACAGATTGAGCTGCATCAAAATCCATGGAGGCCCTCTTGCAGGAGATTTTGTTCAGGCTGTCCCTTGAACTGCAAGAAATTTGTTGTGAACTAGAAATTGATGAAACTGACTCTGAGGACCAGTCACTGACGGGGCTAGCAGGTGATACACTGGAAGAAAGTTTGGTCAAAGGCATCAATTGAGCAGAGAGATGGGATTTTCCAGACGGAGTTTTATTCCGTGATGCAACTCCCGATGGTGTTTTAGGATTTGACCCAGAAGAATTCGGATTACCAATCTTAGCATCAGTTTTTCTTTTTATGGAATTGTTAGAAGATTTACCAAACTTGACAGATGAAGTACTCTCAGAACTATCAAACGATGAGGTTGCTCCTGTTGTGGTTGCAGTTGAAGAAGCCATAGAGGAACTTTTGGATGACATATTGGGCCTAGGAACATTTCGTAAACTACCTGGTAATTTTGACACAGGAGCCCCTCTACCTACAATACTTGAATAAGCTTAGTAGGCACTTCAATCAAGAACAAGGTAGAAAGAGCTCTTCAAACTGGGCGGCTAATCAAAGGAAAAAAAAATGTTCTTACCAGCTGCAAACTTCACATTATCCTTTGCCATTTTCAGTGCATTACCACCCACCAAAGAAGCTCTTTTGGCCACTATCGTTGAGCTGGGGATCTGCTTTTCTAGTAACTTTGGCCGCTTCACGAGAGATAAATTTGACTCCCCACTTGCAGCAACAGACTATATGTTCAAAAAACAAAACAATGATGTCCTAGTTAATCATCATCAAAACTTGGAGTTCACTTCAATAGTTTACTCGCCATTTTTCAGCACTACAATTGAGAATACTTTCTCCAATGTTGTATGTCAAGTTTTGTAGACTTCATAAGTTGGTTTAAGTATGCTGAGTTCAATTACAAAGTGCCTATTCAAGTTCTTCTTAGCCCTCATTATTAATTTATTATAATTAACAAGTAGTCAATTGTCCAATATTAGGATGACGGGTTTTTAAGTTTTTTCTTCACTATTTTTCTTTCCACATACCTGTGAGAGCTGTGGACAAGCAGAAACTGGCCTCGCTAATTTGCCTGGATTTTGCATGCCGGAATTTGGCTTCTTGGAAGCAACTTTGGGCTTCATCTGGAATTTTATGACTAAATTATATGGACGTTCCCGAAATATTTGATAAAGCTACAACACACATCTACTGGTCAGATAACTTACCTTGTGTTGAGAAGCTGAATCGACCCTTTTTGAAGCTGAAAAGAAAAGGCACGTTTAACTTAAGAAGTTCATAAATAGAGTATCAAGCATTCTCTTAAATCATCATGAAATATGACACAAACTCACCGCTGCCAACTTTGGTTTCCCTCACTCCTGAGCCTACTCTACTACTTTCATCTGACATATTAATTGCTTTACTTGATTTCTGAATGGACGCTCTTATGTCTTCAAACAAATTAGCTTCAACACTTTCTAGGGTTAAAGTATCACTTTCTAATGTGGAAATTGAATCGGTGGATCTATGAACTTCCTCCTCAATTCCAGGTAACATCTGTTTTTGTCCCTTGTCAACTGCAATCATGCTTGACAGCTCCTCAGAATCCAAAACACCTAAATTAAAAATACTGATAAGATAAAAGATAAAGCCTTTTGCAATGAACACGCATACAGCAAGAAGGCTAAGAAATTTATTAATACCACATCTTGGGCAAGTGAAATTGATCTTTTTAAATTCATTCCTTTTTTTTTCTGGATTCATACCTTCACATGTGAAAAAGGCACTGTCCCAGGCCAAACTTTTGCGCAGGTTATACTTGCCATTTTTTCTAATGTTCCGCTCTGGTTCCAAGCTTTCAGAAGGTTGAGGCACTAGTTCTTTATTTTCGAGAATATCATCAAAGTCCCCTAATTTGTTAGCATCTACAGGCTCAAAAAGTTCCTCTGATTTGTTATCATTAATAGACTCAAAAAGCTCCACAGTTCGCTGCTCTTGGCCAACTGAACAACATATAAATGTGAATCAAGATTAGAATGCAAAGAAACCATGACATTTTCACACAAACAACAAAGAGAGAAACTTTCGTCACATCAATCAGCAGTCATTTGTTAACAAGAGATTAAACATTACAATTCAAAAAATCCCCAAGATTGTGCTAAAAGAAAACGAATTCACAGAATAACTGAGCCTTCAACTTCAAGATCCAGATTTATACGGGTGCCTAATTAATTACGTAATCCAAACAACCCCATTTCATATCAGAAGGCAATTTCCCCATAAAATATGAAAACTTAAAAACAATACAAATACGAGAACTCGAATCGCACAAAATCAACAAATCAACCATTTTTTTGCGTCTGGATTTCCAAATTCGTACGGACAACAAGATCCCCAATCAGCTTCACTCACACCACATCTTTACAGAAAAGAAAAAAGGAGAGAGCTCCAAAAGTGAAACAAGAACGCAAAAACATCTTCACAAAAATTAAAGAAAACGAACCAGAAGACGAGTCGTCAAGGGGAGATCCCGGAGGCAAACCTAAGAGAGAATCATCCTCAGACGAGAAGTCGATTATGCTGAGCCGTCTCACAGCTTTATCCTTGTTCAACACCGAATCATCCATTTCGGGACCAAGATCGAAGGGAATTTTCTGAATCTTGAGAGCTAGGGATTTGATTTTCTTGGGAAAATTCAAGATTGCGGAATAAATTTGAGGATCAACAGTGAAGCGTTCGAGTGTGTGTCTTCGTTTGAGAAAGGTGGAGTTTTTTTTTTTTTTTTTTTTT